TAACTTATCGACTCTCGTCAATAGAGCGATAGGTCCTCAAAGTTGCTCCAAACGCAACACTCCTAACTTATCGACTCTCGTCAATAGAGTGATAGGTCCTCAAAGTTGCTCCAAACGCAATACTTCTAGCTTATCGACTCTCGTTAATAGAGCGATAGGCCCTCAAAGTTGCTCCAAACGCAACACTTCTAACTTATCGACTCTCACTAATAGAGCGATAGGTCCCCAAAGTTGCTCCGATCGCAACACTCCTAACTTATCGACTCTCGTTAATAGAGCGATAGGTCCCCAAAGTTGCTCAGATCGCAACACTTCTAACTTATCGACTCTCACCAATAGAGCGATAGGTCCTCAAAGTTGCTCCGATCGCAACACTTCTAACTTATCGACTCTCACCAATAGAGCGATAGGTCCCCATGATCTAAGGAGTGGTTTACGTGGGTTATTACAACCGATTAATGAGGCAACTAAACCCTCATTTAGGAGCAGATTATGGGGGCGGTTACACCCCTAATCTCCCTATAAATATCAACAAACTCAACAGAGTTTGGGGTTCGAAAAATAGAGATCCAGGAATCGGATTCAGAGAGTGAGAGTTGGAGGATCAGCTCCTTACACAGTCTGGGGAATCATCATCACCTGAAGAGTCTAAACATTTGATACTTAGCTTATTAACCGAATTATTTTCGGTTCCAATAACTCTTGTCATATTAGAGTTTGTTACTCGTTCTGAGCCACAATACTCATCAAGAGTTATCAACCAGACAAATCAGTTGTTCCAGTGAATTGAAATTTTTGGATCGTCAACGGAGAGCAAACTCGACGTAAGCATTCGAGGGAGGCACTCCATCGCCACCGTGAAGAACCCAGAATTAAACAAAGGGGAGAATCTAGATCATTCTCTTCTCTTTTGTAATCAGGAAATCCAATTGTAATCGAGAGTTGAGAGATTTATAAACATTCTTTTTCTAAGTGTAATCGAGAGTTGAGAGATTTATAAACATTCTTTTTCTAAGCAGTTAGAGAGAATAAAATCAAATACAATTCTTTCATTCATTGTCTTATTGCAAATTTTCCACAAACAGACCGTCATCCATATTATTTCTAATTCATACGGAACAAGGTCGCACAGCTGATCTTTTATACAAATAAGGTAATATCCGTGGCCCGCCTTGTGTCTAATATCGACTATCATATGGTGGCCAAAATCATTTTTTGTACGTTTGTTGATAGTTGTAAGTTGAATACCAATTTGCGACGAATGTATAATGTGAAATCTCGCACTACCCTGTAGATCCGAGCAAGCCGTAACAACATGAGAACAATGAAGCCATTGTAATTGTGGTAAATTGCAAGTGTATGTACAAGTGTGATCCACTAGCATATTAACTTTGTAAGAGCGACTTTCTCTATGTGATATTCCCTCAATAACCTCACATTCATTAAAACTGTATCTTACGACACGAAATGATCGAGCCTGCACAATCCGATCCGCTAATATATCTTCAACCTTCAGTGCCAGCTCTAACGAGTTATTTGCACCAAGTGTGCGTCGTCTGAGAAAGAATTTATTAAGTATGTAAAATGTTTTTGTAACTAGTGACTGTATTGGCATACTACATGCTCCCTTAAGCACACCATTAAAACTCTCAAAAGCGTTGATGGTCATCATACAAAACCGTTTCCCGCCATCTTCACATAATGCCCACTTATCAACATTATTCGGACCCTAATATGTCGTAAGCAATAGGGATGTGATATCTAATGCTTGCCAAAGAAGATCTTGAAGCTGCACTTGTCCATGCTTCCTCTTGAAGTTTTTTCGTTACACAGCCAGCTTGCCAAAGAAAATCTTGAAGCTTCACTTGTCCATGCTTCCTCTTGAAGTTATCGCTAATATGTTGTAAGCAATAGCGATGTTGGTGTGGCGACGGAAAATGTCATTGGAGTGCTATTAGAATTCATTTTATCCTATCAGATATGAATGTAATTGACCACATTCCCACACTAGGGATATGATATCTAATGCATGTAAAAAACCATGCGCAATTCTCCATGTTTTCAACATCAATCACTGCAAATGCCAAAGGAAATAAACCGCCATCTACGTCTACTCCAATTGCAACAAGCAAAACGCCTTTACATTTATCATACAAGTGGTTGTCGTCAATGCTAAGAAGAAGACGACCCTCAATGCAAGCCCAAATGCCTAAAATACACATGTGAACCGTCTATCTCCGTCATCAACAGGGTCTGATGATACTTCATACACTGTCCCCGAATTTTCTCTTGTGAGTGCTTCAAGATAATATTGTAAGATCTCATAAGATTTGTCCCAATCTCTGAATGTTTTTTTCATCGCCTTCTTCCGAGCATTCTAACACTTAATGTATGATACATCCAAGTTGGTCACTTTATGCACTAAAAGACAAATATCCTTTGGTCTTAGATCAAGATCCTCCCTTAGTTTAGGCATAATCAATCGATATATGATAGAGGCGGACACATGCTTATAATTCATCTCTAATCAAGGATTGCTACATGTGTGCAGTCTGTTGTAGTGTGTGATTTTAAATTGCCCGCCTACTCTTACACACAAGCGTGAATTAAACTTCCAAGTATATTTTACATTACCGTCATGGTGCCCACCATTATATTCTTCTTTGCCATCTTTACGGTAAAAACAAACTACATTATAGCTTGTTGCATTGCTTTTTTCTGCCTAAACTTGACATTTTTTTTGATGGCCCGCAAACGAAGCGCATGAATTAATTTCTTCTGACTTTCAAATAGATCGCCCTTTTTGAATGAGAAGTCATCGCCTTGTGTATCATCAACTACATTAGTAATGATAGGAATACTTTCCATCGTAGAGTTGTCAATCCATTCTTCTCCATGCAGTTCATCGGGCGGTGGATACTCTAACACGGCATACTCATTGTTAGAGTAACATCCGTCAATATATTCCCCTTCATAACGATCTATCAAACACGTCATGCTATTGATTTGTAAGCCATCATCTTCATCAGCATCCTCGGAATCGACACTTACATTATCATCTTCTATCGCCACTCATGTGGAAGGCATTAGATCTTGATGGGAGCGCTATCATCGAAGGCATTTGAAGTGCCCACAAGCGAAGGACCACTCAAGTATTGTGACTGTGTTCATGTTACATCTTGTTGCGGCGATAAAAAATCGACGGAGTCAACTTCAAGGTTCTCCAACATGCGAGAGTACACTCTGTCGTGATTCACCGATTTGCCTAAATTTTTATGATGTTTTTCAATAAATAATTCCACCGAACGCTTCTCACCGTGCAATATTCTAATAAGACCCATATCGTAGTCACACGAGATTTGAATGCCGCTTGTTCTATTCCCCGTAACATGATAATTGCAAATAACGTTGAGATGATACTCACGTAAATTGGTTAATGTAAGTTTGTGTAAGTCATTAAGCAATTCATCGAAAGTACATGATTTTGGTATATACAACAGCTTCGTCACACCTCATTCATACACGGACATATTATTCTCGAGATAAAATTAATCTTTCCATCATATGAACAAAGAATTACGATTCGATCGTTAATTGTTACCTCTGAAGAGTAAAAAATTCAATATCAATATTACACGAAAAAACATAAAAATGTTATTTACCATTAAATCCTCTAATATCGATTTTAAATATCTATAATTTTAACCAAATGTTAAACCTTTATAATAACACTAACTTTTACAATTTTTGGTAATTTTTCCTCCAACTTCATACACAAAATTATTTAATTTTTCTTCACAAAATTTATAAATAATTCAAAATTTATTTCAAAATCTAAATTTGTACAAGTAATCAGCATGAAATAGTGAGAATATATAAAAAAAAATTAGGAGAAATTTTTTTTAAAGATTGTACCTAAAATTTGTCGATGCACTAATTTTCGGTGAACTCTGGCAGTGACGGCGGCAAGATCGATCAATGACAGTGATGAAAAGCCAACGGGGCGGTG